GGAAGCTTAAGTTCTAGAAATCGTTCCTTTCCTTTCTCCTCCTTCCCCTTCTCCTTCTCCTTTTTCTTCTTTTCTTTTTTTTCTGTCCTCTCCCCTTTCCCCTCCCCTCTCCTCCCCTTCCCTTCGATATGATTCATAGGCTACTAGAATCAATCCAGCCTGGATTTGTTCACCTAGTGCTTTAGATTCTGTGCTTGCACAGCTGTCACTCCACGTAGAGAATCATGATTATATACAGTCTGGGCTATGGCTTACACATCTAGTTTTTGTGCATGCTGCATACTGAATGGGCCATTTGACTTCTTCAAAAGCTCCAGCAGCTTCTGCAGGCTAATCTACAGTATATCCTTCTTGCATGAATGTCAATAGTTTTCTATCAAATGTAGATGGGGATCCTATGACCTTCTAGGTGTTGCTGGACTACATTTTCCAGCATCTATCACTGGCTGCTATAACTTGAATTTCAGTATCATCTGGCAACTCCAGATTCTCTAGCACTGCTGTATGTCAAAGAAGCAAACTATAACGGGCTGAGCTTGCATGCTACACTAACTAAAATAAGGTTGGCTAATTTGTGGTTTAGTGTGTTGGGCAAATCTAGGCAGCTAAGTTAATTCTGTTAATCATGGTTCAGCAAGTCATGGGAAAACATGTTATGTGAACATAGCCTCAATATTTAGAAGTAACTAGGTTCAGATGAAAATCAGCAGACACAGGAAACGTTAAGCATCCCATTCTCCAACTCGCCAATGTTGTTTCTGCACACCTATTATCTTACTCCAGAGTTAATGACTGCCATGGGGGTTGGTGGGTCAGATGTCATTATTACTATAATTTCATAGAATCGTACAATGTATATACATATAAAGAATATTGGAGATCCCTATCTATTGCAGGAATCCACTCTGTAGCATCCCTGAAAAGTGGCCATCCGGCCTCTGTTTAAACATCTCCAGAGAAGGAGGGTCTAACATCCTGGGATGCATTCTGTTCCATTGCTGAATAGCTCTTACCACTAGGAATTTTTTCCAGATGGCCACCAAAGTCTACTTTGTTGTAATTTAAACCCCTTGTTTCTTGTCCTGTCTTCTGGAACAACTCTGAACAATTCTATTTTTCTACATGGTAGCTCTTCAAAGAATTTACATTTAAATTTAATAAATTTTTAAATAAAAATGATTAATAAATGTATTAAAATTATTAAATTAAAAGGTTACATGGTAACTCTTCAAAGTATGGAAAAGCAAGGACATCAGCCTGGCAGCTAAATGCAGATTAGTCTAGGCACAAAGGAAATCAACTCATTTGAGCTGTGGTGTGCATTCCTTGGTCAGCAAAGATGACAAACAAGCAAAGACTGGAGTGTATAAAACCAGACATATTGCTGGAGAGCAAAATCACAAAATTCAGCCTTACTTATCTTGGCTATGTCATGTGATCAAACTCATTGGAAAAAGTTATGCTCGGAATGGTCAGCAGTAAGCCAGAGCATAAAACAGCTAAAAGAAGCCATATAAGATCAGAAAATGTGGAGAGAGATGGTCCATAAAATCGCTGAGAATTGGACACGATTGAATGGATGGATTCATCAGCATCATCAACTCTTCAAATACTTGAAGAGAGCCATCATGTCTCCTCACAGTCTTCTCCACGCTAAACATCCCCGTGCCTCCAACATCCCTTCATAATTTCTTCCTTCCAGGCCCCTTAACATCCTAGTTGTTCTCTGACGTGCTCCAGTTTGTCAATGGCTTTCCAAAAATGTGGATGCAATAAGGCTGGTGTGGTCTGATCAATGCAATACTGAGAGGAATGATGACTTTCCTTCATTTTGATACTAGACTTCTGTTGATGTGACCTGGGATTGCCTTGGCTTGTTCTGCAGCTGCATCTCACCATTTTCATCTAACTGTGGGTTGCTGCAACTGCTATTGTACACATGTGTACGTGTGCATGCTTTTGAACCAAGTCACAAATCATGCATCATAACTCACAATGGCTAAGTTCATGCATTGTATTTAGCCATAACTAAGTCAGCCAATTTTTGGTTTGTGTGAACTAAATAAGGGTGTGTACATCAGAGAGAGAGAGAGAGAGAGAGAGAGAAAAGGAGAGAAATAAAACACCTTTTGCTTCTTCAGACTTCATATTTCCTCAGTAAATCTGCAATTCTTACTGAGAGAGCTTTTAGAAGGGAGCTGAAACAGTGGTGAGGACATGTTTGTTTCAGCTGGCTGGTGATATTTTGTATCAGTGAATAATGTCATGCTGGGAATTGAACAAATTCCTCCCCACCCGCCAGAGAAAACAGGAAAATTGGGGTTGGGGTGGGGGACAAGCCCACATAAGCAAACACAGGGGAGCCAGAATTTGCATCACACTGAGAAGACAGAGGTAAAAAATGGAATAACAATGAAGCTTTAGAGTCTCATCTGGGAATACTTTATAATTTGAAATCAGATGACAGGGACCCATGAATAAAAACAGCAAACAATGAGGGAAAAAGACATATTTTCTTTCTGGGGAAGGGGCGGATGCATTTCTTACACTCACATTCACTCTCTAAAGTATTGTTTTTCGAGCTTGGCAACTTGGAGATGTGTGGACTTCAACTCCCAGAATTCCCCAACCAGCATGCTGGCTGGGGAATTCTGGGAGTTGAAGTCCACACATCTCCAAGTTGCCAAGCTCGAAAAACAATACTTGCATGCTGGTTGGGGAATTCTGGGAGTTGAAGTCCACACATCTCCAAGTTGCCAAGCTCGAAAAACAATACTTGCATGCTGGTTGGGGAATTCTGGGAGTTGAAGTCCACACATCTCCAAGTTGCCAAGCTCGAAAAACAATACTTGCATGCTGGTTGGGGAATTCTGGGAGTTGAAGTCCACACATCTTCAAGTTGCCAAGTTTGAAAAACCCTGCTCTAAAGCCACAATAGTGGTTGCTTCTAGAGAAAAAATATTCTGAGAGAAAGAGAAGGTGTATTTCTGCAAATCACCATTCTCATCCCACCCAACAAAGTTCCAACTAATGTGTATATCTTGTATTCTTTTTTAAAGAATACACCTTTAGTCTTCATTGGTACAGTCAGAATATATTCATAATTTAAAACTGCATATTTCACATGATCCATGATGGAGTTAGGATTGCAGCCATGAGTTATATGGATGCTGAGGACGGGGAGAGCATGTACTTCATCTGGGTGCCCCACGCTGCACCCCTAAAAGACCACGCCTGCCTACATAGCCCATTAGCTGAATCAAGGGCACACCAGTCTAAACTTGGCAGGTCAGAGTAACTCTTGATCAAGATGGTGACAGCTCTTTTTATTCACTTCTCTGCCAAACCTCTTCTTACCTCTCCACAAACCTTACTGATGGTCAGCCAATCTTGCGCATTGCTTTTTAGATGTCTGAGCCGTGGATCGGTTCAGAAACATTGGATAACACCTCAAACAGCAGCTTAATTTATGTAGAGGGAAGCCAATGTCCTGGCAATTGGAAGAGGCTCCTTCAAAAGATGCAATCTGTGTTTACTTCAAGATTCTTCTTTTCTTTACGTGATCTGACTTGGAGGGTAAATGTGCAAAGCATTTGATTTCTTTGCCTCAGCAAAGCTCTGAGTTTTATGCTTGAATCTGACACAGTGTTAATCTCTTTAGTTAAACAAGATAAGCAATTACCCAAACAGGTCCATTTTTCTGTGGAAACCATAGGTTACCCCAAGCCTTGATTGTGTTACTCCTTCTTATCATCCCAGCAGCAACAGTGTTTCAGAATGTTAGACTATGAATGTGTTCAATTAAAAAAAAAAAAAAACTAGCTTATGATTTCATCTCATTTATTTGGTGAGCACAGCAATCAGGTTGAGTACAGGTACAATTTGACACTTTGCTTATATTCAGAACAACAAACTAAAGAGGCCAAGCGCTAAACATTACAAATAAAAAATATGGATACATACAAGACATGTAGAAAGGGGCACATATAGAGCAAATAGAAAATAGGCTAGTAAATTATTTTCTGGGTTCATTTTGGCCTGCACCAGAATATTGCCTTCAAAGAGTCTATCTGTCCCTGAAGTCCCTGAAGTCTTCCAGATGTGTTAGACATCATTATCTATCATCCCCAGCCATCATGGTCAGGGTTAGATGCTGAAGTCCAACCCACCACTACGTGATTGTAGAGCCTGAGTTCTAGTTCTCCCTTAGGCATGGAAACTGGCTGGTTGACACTGGACCAGTCACTCTCTCCCAGCCCAACCCCCTCACCTCACAAGGATGTTATAAGAGGAGGGCATCTTATGCATGCCCCCTTAAGTTGAACAAAATCAATTGAGTCAATCAATCAATCCATCAATTTTCTTAATCACTTAGTCTTTCTCCACTCCTTTCCACCCAAATGGAATTTCCACAGGGCGTAATTACAGAACCATTTTCTTGGACCAGAAGGAAGGACATTTTGTAACTGGCAGATTGGCCAAAGATAAGGCCACAAGTCAACCATCTAACTATCTTGGATATGCCCATTTCCTGGACTGGACAGCTCCAATGCTGGGATGAGTGGCTGTCTAATATTTCCTTGGTTCTATCTGGTAGTTCTTAAGTGTTCAGAAAAGTGTTTGAAAACACAGAGGGAAAGAGTGAAATAATTTTTAAAGCATGTCTCTGTGGGAAAGGATGCCTGGCAAATGGCCAAAGACGTATACCTTTTTTTCCCTAGCCAACTTCTCTTCCTCTTCCATTGTAAGAGGCGCAAATAAAATCGGTGCGAAGAGATCGGCAAAGTTGCGAACGCTCCGCGCAGCCCCCTCGCTCTCTCACCCGAATTCCTGGGTCTCTGCAAACGAACTGGCTCGAATGAGCCCGCCCACTTCTCCTGGCCCCTCCCACTCCCCGTCATTGGCTGGCCGATTTCTACGAAGGAATTTAAAAAGGAGAAATAATGTTCGTCCGCTTAAGAAGCCAGAGGACTGCCGGACGCACCTGCTCTCCCGCTGACATGCCGATCTTCCGGGCTGTGGCTTCTTTCGGCCTCCTCCTCTTCTCTCTCCAAATAAGCCTTCCCGCCGGGCGAGGCTGGCAAGTGCTTAAAAACGATGCCACGGAGCTCGTCCCAGGCTTTCCGGAGAAGACCCTGGAGGCAGCGGAGGAGCCAGCGCAAGCGGCCTCTGCCCAGAACGAGAGCGAAGCCATGAACAACCGAGCCCAGCAAGGGGAGAGGAATCCCCAGGTTTCCTTGGGAAGGATGGGTAAGACAATTCAAGCCATCTCTCCCCCGCCTCCTGTGCGCTCAGTTGACTGCTACGGCATGAGAAGAAATTCTTTTTCTGGAGAACAGCAAACTCCAAGGACACTGGTTTCTGCAGATCAGGATGGGCCAACTAGTCCAATACTGATCAGCGAATGGAATTCCTTCCTTCCTTCCTTCCTTCCTTCCTTCCTTCCTTCCTTCCTTCCTTCCTTCCTTCCTTCCTTCCTTCGTCCATCACTTGCAGCTTGAAGTCCTATGCATTCAAAACAGGTACTCTCTGCCACCCAATTTATAGCTACTTTGAAAGGCACTTGGTGGTCCCAGATGGAAAGCTCTCCACCAATCGACTGGCCCTACACAGCAATGTTTTCAGCCTTTCTCTCAGGAACTCAGAGAGGCACTTCCTTCTCCAAATTGTTTCCACAATGACAAGGTAGGCTGGACCGAGAGGTAATGAGTAGCCCAAAAGCTGCAAGGTGATCTTCCCTGGCTGGGGGTGCAGTTAAACTTTCACAGGTCCTAGTCCAACACTTGTAACTACTCATGACCAAGATGACTGGTCCATCCTTGGGATGGCTATCAAGGAAGATGATGTTATCTGGAGCCCTTGTGGAATCCAGTGCTGCACACTGACCACCTCCCCTGCCATCTGGAAGCATCCATGTGTTTAGGCTTGTAATGCATCTTTGCCCTTTCTAATTTATAGAACTCGTTGCTACCAATAAAATGTCATATTCTCCTTGCCATCCCTCCTAGCTTTTTGTCATCATTTTTCCTTCTTTTTTCTTCCCACTCAAAAACCCATTTGAGGTCCTTGCAATATGCAATCCAGCTCATTGACTTCTGAACATCACTGCTAAGTGCTGTCCATCTGGAAACACTCTTATAAATGACATTGGTGCTACCTTACTTTTTCCTCCTGAGATTGCTTGGGGCAAAGGCTGCGTTTGCAAGGTGATCTCCTATCCAGGCTTCAGCTAGACTTAAATCAAATTAGCACAGATGTGATTGCAAGGAAGGTTGCAATGCCTTCAGCTCATACTTTTGGACCATGAGGGTCCATGTAGTTTCCCATCCAAGTGTGAGCCAGATCCAGACCTGCTTTGCTTCAATATCTTTCTTGTCTTCAGCCTACTTCATGTCTTGTGTTTAATTGGCCATGTTCTTTGTGAGGGTTGAAGAGCTCTGGGTCTGCAAATAAGCTTTCCAATTCAATCATCTAGTCGAGTGCTTTCAGTCACTGCTTTTCTGTAAAGTCATTTTTATATCAAAGGCTCTGAGCAGCTTTTGTTTTGATCAGGTTTGTAAAACATACAGCCAACTTTCTGATATTGTAATAGCCCTGAACCCTGGTCCAGAGTGTTCAGTTTCATTACAAATGCCTCTTCCAGTGACTGTATTGTGGTCAAGGTTTAGACATTCCCTTAAAGCAAAAGGAACATTATGTTTCCTGGCTGCCCACAAGGAGGGGTTTTTTTGGTGCCAGGAAACTTCCTTTTTCTTCTAGATATTTTTACAGTTACTTTTGATTTTGAAATGCAACTATGACATCAGGATAGCATGCATGTGCATAATTTCCAATATTTTTTCCTAATGAATGTAATTGCTTTTATTGTGTCATTTTTAATGTTCTAAATAACTTTTTATTTTGCCCAGAGCTAGTGTTCTCATACACTAGCTATCTGCCCTGGGATATGATGCAGAGTTGTGTTCACACAACACACTAAGCCCAAAAAACTTGACAAATGAATGGGTGCATGTTCACCGGGTGACGGATATTACCTGAGGTTTCTGCCCTACTGGGTTATTCAAATCCCAAAGCATCTGGAATTTCTGGACTTTGTAACCAAGGCTTGTCGGGTGTGACTGAGTCCAGTTTGTATAACCCCAAATGGTGGCTGGAGTATATGGTCACATTTATGTCATTTTCTTAGCAGCAATGTATACTGTACATGGTTTTTCAGTGTCTTCTTCTGGGTGTTTTGTTTTGTTTTTGTTTTTTAATTTCCCAGTCTAGCATACAGCTCCAGGATTTCCTGTTGTCTCCCATCCAATAACTAACTGGATCCAAACCTGCTTAACTTTTTGAGATCTGCCACTTGTAAATGTATACTCTAGCCTGCCCCTTGATAAGTTAGGCTGGGGAACTTAAGTTGTTCCCTCAACTGTAACTATGGAAAATACCAGCTGTTTGTCCCTAATTTTTTTCTGGTAAAGAGAAATATCTCAGAAGCAAAGACCCACAGATGGCATCTGTTTGAGAACAGCTCTTGCTCTTTGACCAAGTAGGTTGATGCTTCCTAGATATCTAAACTGCAGGGCTTGGAAGTTGTAATCAAACCTTCTGATAATTCCAGGAAGGGTGGTTTGCCAAACCTGTCAGCCAAATACTGGGCATTACAGGGTGTGAAAAATGTCAAGGGGTGGGTTTGTGAAAATTAGTTGATTGCAGAGAAGGATTTAATTAGGAGTGACAGGGGATTAGTGGGTCCTTTTTCAAGGTGTACAGTGCTGAAACTAGTTGTCAGCCCTTCAATGTAGTCCAGACAAGAAGCACAAACCATGAGTACTAACACTACCTTTATTATAAGATTACAGTGACAGAATCTTGCAAGTCTGAAAGCATCTCTCCCTTCCTTCACTTTTACATTCCAGAAAACTAGGGAAGGTCCCTTCTGAGATGCTTCTCCCATCCCTTTTCCTTCTGTGGACATTTTGCATGATGGTTGTCTACTCTATGGCTCTTCCTCTTGTCTCCCAAGGTCATTCCCACATACCATTACATGAGTGTGCCAGTTGTGTCTAAAACCTAGGCATGGTGTGCTTTGGGTAATTTTAAGGTAGTTTAGAATTTGGGAGTTGTAATCCCAGAACCACCAAAGGGAGAGGCTGGTAGAATGCATAAATTCCTAATCCTGTCTCAGACACAAGAAGGTGGCTGTTGTGTAGAAAGGAAATTCACATCCTTTATTCCAAATCAGCCTATTCTGTTCAGTTAGTCCTTATTTGACTGTTCCACCTGGAAATTTCTCTTTGGGGTTGTAAAACCCATCACATGCCATCTCCGAGGTCAGTAGCAGAACATCAATCCAGACAGAACCCCTTCTTAAACTCCAGAGAATTTATAGTGCATCAGTAAAGATTTCTGCCTTCCAATGGATTACCAGTTGTTGGGCAGCAATGAAGTGACTCGGTACTCTGAATTACTTAAATTATGCTGCAAAATTAGAAGAAAGCCTGAGATAACTCAGAAGTAATTCTTTACGGGAGTGAAAAATCAGATTCAACTATTTCTTCTACTACACAGCATAGATTCCCAGTATGGGAAAAGTGCAGTATGGGTTTTGCATCAGATTTTTGCACTAGGCTCCATGGATTCAAGTAAAATTAAGCAGTCATGGGCTGTCAGAACCACTTGGCTGGAAGTGCTGGGGAATGACCCTCAGACTTTTTGAATGCAAAGCACATGCTCCCTCGGGTTTCAGGAGGGGCAATTTTATCACGCTAGAGCAGTGTTTCTCAACCTTGGCAACTTGATGGTGTGTGGACTTCAACTCCCAGAATTCTTCAGCCAGCCAGCCAACCTTGGCAACTTGATGGTGTGTGGACTTCAACTCCCAGAATTCTTCAGCCAGCCATGCTGGCTGAAGAATTCTGGGAGTTGAAGTCCACATGTTATCAAGTTGCCAAGGTTGAGAAACACTGCTCTAGAATGTCTTCTAGACTGGGCTGCTCTTTCAAGGCATAGGAGGCTGGCTTCTTTGGACCTGTGTGCCAGCATGACCAGTCAATCAAAATAGCCAGAGGGGCTTGGCATCCCTGCATCTCCTTTTCCAATCTGTCTCTGATTAGACTTCTACTTCCTGCTTTTGTCAAAAGAGGAAAGCAAAGACTAGCCTTCCGGAAATGAGTTTGAGCAAATGTCTGGAATGTTTGTGATAGGGGAGGCATTCATTCTCTTTTTCTTCCACCCTCTGAGTGTTTTCCTTTTATCAATGAATCTGTGGGGCTGGAAACAAAAATGTTCTGGTATACAAGGTTTTGGTTCAACTGCCATTTGCCAGATGGAGTTATCAGAAAAACGCTGGAGAGGGTTTTCCAATATTGCAGTAAACACATCTTCTGAGAGATCCAATATTAAAACGTCAAGGGACTGTCATGGAGGTACTTGCATGTTGATCCTCTGACATGATTCCCCTGCTTAGAATCTGCTCTATCACCTCACTGTTACCAAAGTCTTCCTGTACCCTGGAAGCTCTTGAACTTCAAGGAAACTATCATTGGCTTCGTTCAAAACAGATTGTTTTGAATTTCAGTCTGCTGAGTTGTAGACTTTTTTAGACATGTAGCAGGACAACTCTATGTCTTGGCTGACTTCTGACCTTTGCTGGAACAACACCCACTTTCCTCCAATATTTTGGGGCCAATCGGCACTTTGGAACTTTGAAAGCATATTATGGGCACTTTCAGAACATGGTTGCCATGGTTGATATGGCCAAAAACAACAACAAAACTTCATATACCAGAAGACAAAGAAAACATTGGGCTGCAGCCAACTGACTATTTTATATTGTAAGAATGCCTTTAGAGCAGTGTTTCTCAACCTTGGCAGTTTGAAGACATATGGACTTCAACTCCCAGAATTCTCCAGCCAGGAAGGCTGGCTGGGGAATTCTGGGCATTGAAGTCCATACATCTTCAAACTGCCAGGGTTGAGAAACACTGCTTTAGAGTATAGGTGCAGCTGAGTAGCATTGTTGACAATGCTGGTTGTGTCTGAGGTCAGTGCTTTGCTTTGCAGCATCTCTCATTAATTTTTCTAATTAAAACAATTTTTTTAAAAAAGTAATCAGATGGAGGAAAAGCCTAACAGGTGCCAAGGAACATATTGGCTGGCACGTGGGTTGGCATATTGTCAAATCTGGCCCCATGTTGGAGTCCAGGCGCTAAGACTTCTTTGACATTCTGTCAAAAGTGTTAGATTCCTATTTTGGATCTTGCTGGAACCATGTTTCTATTCCTTAAGAGCTCTCCAAGGTCCTGCAAAGACCCAGTCACAAGACTGGGAGACCAGAAATTAATTTCTAATCTGATCCACTTCAACTTGCAGAGAAATTCTAACCCCTTGCTAGCAACCGGCAGCACTAAAGTCCTTCCCAACATCTAGATGTTTTGGGGTTTTTTTTAAGTGCTAGAATTACTTTGTGTGCTTAATAAACAATCTGGGCAGTTGGATTCTCTCCCTCTGTGGCATAAGAGGGCTCCAATAGGCTTCAGTCCAATAAATTTTTTATTTATTTTCCTTCCTCCATAGAACCTTTGGAGTTCAGCTGTCGTGAAGTGCATTCCACCCGCTACGTCACCAGTGGCCTGTGCCGCAGCACCAAGCCAATTAAGGAGCTGGTATGTTCTGGCCAATGCCTGCCATCCCATCTCCTCCCCAATTCAATTGGCAAGGGGAAATGGTGGCGGCAACATGCCATGGATTACCGCTGCATCCCGGCACACAGCCGTCCCCAGCGTGTCCAGTTAGCCTGCCCCGGCGAGGATATTCGGACTATCAAGACCAGAACCATCACCTCTTGCAAATGCAAACGGTACACCCGTTACCACAATCGTTCTCAGCTCAAAGACTTCAGCAAGGAGACCACCCGGCCTCAGAAGAACAAAAAACCTCGCCTCCCCAGGGCCAGGGGCAGTAAGGCCAACCAGCCAGAGTTGGAGAACTCCTACTAGATGGAGGCTGCTGGTGAGACCCCAGCCCAGAAGAGTAGAGATTTTTGCCTCACCCACCCTCTCTTTTTGATGGCACTGGGATCAAAATGGGACCAAGTGAGGGGAGGGCCAAGGCCCTCATGGTGGCTGTCCCAACCAGAGGTTCAAAACTGATGTGACCGAAAGCTATCGGATTTGGATGAAAGCTCCAAGGGGGAGGGAAGAATTCAAATTGAGCAGGTGGTAGCAGTTCTCAGTCTGAAAGCAGAGTGACTCGGAGATTAGTAGAGGGTTACACGGTCCATAACATTGAAGGGAGAGGCAAGCTCTGTGCACTACTACTTTTTCCAAGACTTCTTTGTCCTTCCTTAATGGACAAAGGACTGGCATCTCTCCAGCAAAATGGCCAGGCATTTGTGTAGAATAATGCAACCTTGCCAGCTCCCTGTCTTTAAAACAGACTTCCCCAATCTGGTGCCTTCCAGTCATGTTGGGACTACATCTCCCAGAATTCCTTTCCTGAAGCTGCCGGTCTCATGGCATCTGCCAACTCCAGGGTGGAGAGGGCCATTTTAATACTTTGCTGCCCTGGCCCTTTGCTTCCTTCTGGATTCTCTATGATGGATGGTTGCCTACTGTGCTGTAGTATTGCCTGAACTATAAGCTTTGTTATTTTAAAATGAAACATAGGCAGTTTAAAGTCCCAACATAGTGTACAGATAGTGTTAGATGTGCTGATCTGTACAAAGAGCTAACTTTGCAGAGGCATGCAGAAGAAGGAAGAAACAAAAAGACTGAGGAGGGGAAAAAAAACCTTGAAAAAAATCAGGCACAGTTAAAGGGAGGAAAGTTTGTAGAGTAGCTCAAATGGAAAAATATCTGGAAAGATTACCATCTTTAAATTAGCATCAACCATGGATGAAAGCAGAGCAGGATGAAAGAAGCCATGAGAATTCTTCCTAAAGAATGCTTTGGGCTTAGGCTCAGTACCATCTCTGTTAAAGCAAGGGTGGTGAGACCTCCAGATATTGCTGGACTTCTCATCATCCCTGGATCTAAATGTGCAAGTTATAACAGGGGAAGTTTGTAGCCACAACATTTGGGGGGCCCTAAATGGTTTGATGCAGGCTCTTGGGGTTTAATATAAGACAGAACTGAGCTGTGGTGATCTCAGAAGTGAGCCTGGAGCATGCACAGAATATTTTCTTTCCCCCAAACAGGGATCATAAACAAAGAACCCTTATTCCTGGGTAAGACAATGAAAAGATGACTGTGAGGTTAGTAGGCAGGCAGGCAGGCTTGATCTCTGGCATTTCTCATTTCAAGTCATAAGACGATGGCCTCCTATTTCATGCATTCCTGAGTAAGCACACAGGAGAGTTGAAGGAGCATTTTGCCTGGCAGAGGATGGGGTAGGGGATGAGAAAAGCAACATGGCAGAGTGAGTCTCACTGGAGCATTTGGGGCCGCTTCATTCTTCCATGGAAGTGGGAAGAAACAGTCATGGACTGAAGACAATTCCAAAATTAAACTGTTGGTCAGGTTCAAGTGGGAAAGCAGTTTTTACTAAGTTTTTATCAAGCTTTAAAAACATTTCAGTTCTGGATGCTAATCCTGGCTATATGCAACTTTGGGGACTGTAAATTGCTCAAAACACTCCATGCATTTATGGCTCAGTGAGGCTTTGGATTCCAGTAATGGCCAGTGTGCTATTCATCTCTTTCTGAATGCCTTACAGCTCATTCAGACAGAGATGTGATCACCTCCCCCAAAGCCTAACAGAATGTTATGTCCAAAGACACATTCTCCTTTAAAATCCCAATAATATCAAAGATGCTCAGGTTGCCTGCCTGGAAAATGTTGCCCTCAACTCAACTGTTCTTCCCTCACAAGGGGTCATTGATAGATATGGTTCACATACCACAATAAGCCATAATGTATTTTTTTTAACTTAGCGTGGCGTGTGAATCCAGCCATGGCAGGTTGTTAAAACCATGGTTTATGGAGCAGCATATTATGTGAACCGTCAACTATTTTTTTAAACAAATAAACTATGATTAAAAAGCATGGCTTAGCATGGCTTGTGAACCAGGTCATACTATCAGGGCACTATTTTGGGGCTAAGTCACATAGTGAAATTTAGCTTTGTTCCTAAAAGAAAGAATGCCTTCCTTTCCATGGCAGCCTCTACATGTGTTGGAATATGACTTCAGTAACCATGTTGGATGATGGTGATGAGAACTGCAGTCCAACACATCTAAAGGGCACCAAATTGGGGAAAGCTGAAGCGCTTAGAACAGGAGTAAACTATTTGTGACACTCCAGATGTTATGAATTACAACTTCCAATATTTCTTATCATGCCATGTCTTCTCTGGATGCTGGGAGTTTTAGTTCAGCAACATCTGGAAGCCACAGGTGGCTTAAGCCTGGTTTAGAGAATGATGCCTTCTCTTCCCATTCCTTTACTTAGTCAACTAAGCGTCACCTATGCTTTTGAGCTTATGCTATTGGAAAAACTGCCACCAGTCTTTGGGTGGTACAGATGTTGCTAGATACTGCCAAGTTGCAAATTATAGTAACAGTCCAACATTCCGCATCTGACTCCACCCCTTCCCAATTGCTAGACTCATAAGATGCACAGCCTTTTCTTCAACCTGAATGGATGTTGTTTCCAGTGGAAGACGTGGCAGTGAAAAAGTTGACTTCTCCAAGATTTAAATAGCATCTTTATTTATTTCCTTGTAAAAAGTATTTATGTTCTTTGACTCTGTCTTTCATGTAGCCAACTGGGCAATTCTGTTCCCATGATATTTAATCTGAGGTTTCAGAGTTATTACAGATATATTCCTAAAAATAATCAATTAATAAAGTCATGTCCATGGAAAAGATGTCTGGTATTTATTTGGTTTTAGTGCTGTGAACATCACAGAAGCACCTGTCTAGTCCAAACCCTGAACTCCAGGGAAGGACCCCCTTTGGGTTTGCCTGTGTAATCCAACTCCACTGTTCTTCCTAAACAGCTTCAGTCAAGTAAGTCGCGTTATTTCGAAGTGGCTGAATTCCCAGCATCTTTCACATTGACTAATAGAGAACCACAAGTTCCTTATCCTTGTGTTACAGCTATCAGAAAATACATTGGAGTTGGCACTAATGGGCTTCTGAAATGATCCAAGTTGTGGACAAAGAAATTAGGTGGATAGTTTCTCCAGATTTTTTTAGGGAAAAGAAACAAAAATCTCCACTGATTTCTCAAGAGCAGGAGTCCCCTTAGATTTAAAAAGTACAGGAAGCCAGGGAAACTGCAGGCAGCTAGAGAGAAGATGCTCCAGTGAAAGACAGGACAGCCCCTTGGTCACCTCATTAAATTTCACCCAGGAGAATTTCACAGAAAATTTCTTCTTTTTTGGAAACATTTCTAAAGCAAATATTGTTTCATCATACTGAATGAGAACTGGCAAGAAAAAAAATAGTGTGCGGGGGGGGGGGATATTGTCATTAGCAAAAAAGACAGAAGGAAAACCTCACTCAATGGCATGATCCAGCCAAAATTAATAACTTTTCTGTCTTCATTGAAAAGACAGGGAATTTATGGCTTCCAGAACTTGTGAAACTGCAGCTGCCAACACTTTAAGTAGCATGGCCAAGGATGAGAAATACAGGGTGTTGTAATTCAGCAACCTCTGGAGGGTTACAAGTTCTCATCAGATTAATTGTCCTACTGAAATCAATGTAATTTTAAGATTGCCAAGTGGAGGAGAAAAAAAAATTGAGCTTAATATTAGAAGCTTCTAATGTGAAGGTTATTCAACAGGCTGATGTAAAGCTTCAAGGAGCGACTGCTCTGACAGAGGCTTCAGCAACACAGCCCTTGGATGTGGTTCTGCAAAGTGAAGCACCTTCTTTGCTGTCTTTCATTGGCCTTTCCATAAAATATTTAGAGTGCAGCAAAGTGACCGGGCCAAGCCAAGCCAAGCCAAGCCAAGCCAAGCCAAGCCAAGCCAAGCCAAGCCAAGCCAAGCCAAGCCAAGCCAAGCCAAGCCAAGCCAAGCTGTCTAACTTGATGCTCTTTGAAGGCATCAGAGTGGAACGCTCCACTTTTCTATGCCATGCCATTGCTTTGCTCCTCTGTCAGAGCCCACAAAATACTGTTGAATCACACAAGTGTGAATCCAATTGTGGCGTAGAGACTGTGGTCATCCCTCCCTCAAAAGCAGGACAGGTCCAGCCATTTGTAAGAAGGGCTCTCACTTCAGCATTCCTCAACCTGATGCCCTCCAGATGTTTTGAACTCCCATATTCCTCACTAATCAATCACTCCTGGCTGCTGACCATGCTGTCTGGATCTGACGGAAATTGTAGTCCAACCCATCTGAAGAGCTTCTAAACAGCCAGAAGTTAGGGAAAGAATGAAGTTTCTTCCTGTGTAGCAAATCCTATACTGAGCAGGAAACAAGATTATATTAGTTCCAATGTACTTTCCAGTTCTTAACAGTTTGTCATGTTATGACCCCAGCCAAACTTATGAACAGATATGTAAAGGATTGTACTTTTCCTGGATTGTGATCACTCATTATCCTCATCTTCTTTATACCTTATATAGCAACAATAGTGCAGGAGTATGCAAGCAACTATCTTCCACATGTTTTTAACTACATTTCCCACACTTATTTGCTCTGGTGGCAAAGTCCAAAATATTTGGAGAGTATTGGGCTGTCTACTCTTGATACAGTGTTTTCCCTATAAACAAATAAATGATAGAACCCCATTCCAATGTTTTTACAACCTAAATAGATAGTAGGCAGGGAACAGAGAAAAAGGAGGTGTGGAAGGAAGAAAGCAAATGCAAAACTCATGTGCTCAATGGAAAAGTGGTTTTGTTTTGTTTTGAGATTGTGTATGAAGGAAGAGAGAGAAAGAGAGCAGCGCATAGGTTAGCCTCCCCCAACCTGGCATCCTCTGGATATATTTGACTACAGTTCCCATCAGCTGCAGCCAGGAAGGCCTCAGGCTGTACTGACTAGGAACCATGGGGGCTATTGTTAGAAGAGGCCAGGTTTTGTTTTGTGATCACATGTTTGCTGCTAAGAAATGATTGACTGGTTTTCATAATGTTTCTCGTTTACCGAATGAAGCCACTTTTCTACGTTTGTACAACATACTGGGCTGGGTTTGCACACCATATTAAAATAAAATGTGGTGGGCTAATTTGTGATTCTGTGTCTTGTGCAAACACAATCATTATGTAGATATAAACTAATAGCTAAAAAAATTAAAGAAGTTGCACCGGCAGGAGTGGTTGGGGTCCACATGCTACAAAATTATTCAGTTCACATACTGACAGGACATTTCTTGAGTTTTTCTGGGTAGGATGAAAGATCCTAGGAAACCTAGGACCCTCCAAAAGCTGTTGAACTACCAATCCTACCACCCTAACCTCTGGCCATGCAGCTGATTTTGCTGATAGACTTCAACAAAATATAAATGACTATAATCTGCTGACCCCTGGTCTTGGGTGTTCCTGCAAGATGATAACTAAGACACTTGTGACTGATGCCAATATGTGTTATCCTTGGGTAAGAATAGTAGATACAGGCTCTACTCATTTTTTTTTCTTTCCTGGGCTGACACTTTAAGCAGCACCAGGCAATCTCTGTCAACCATACCTGTATTATACCAAGAAAACCACATGAATTGACAAGATAAAGTGATTAACAATAAAATGCCAGATGATGGGCCCCTCAGGTTGGATGGCATTCAAATGCTACTGAGGAAGAGCTGAGGAGCTTCTGGAGTCCTAATGGTGTTTATGATGTAGTTAAATTAAAGCCTTCGGCATGTCTAGTTG